TTTAAGAATGCAAAAGTTTCAACATGCTGCAGAATTTAAACAAGACTTATCTTGAAGTGTCAACTTGTTAATATATTTCATTTGAATATTCAGTTGCACAACTCAGAAAAGGTCTATTCTAGATTGATTTGAGATTAAAGATTATTTGGGAGCACTTAAAACTGAATTTGGTTCAGGACATTGTGGCAGGAGTTGTAGGCGGATTTGAACCATCAATGTTGTGATTACATGGTATGTGTCTTAAACCACTGGGCTTCAGGACGCCCCGCAGATGTTTCTTTGTTCATATTCAGGAACTTTAAAATTCCCCTGAGACAAATCTGTGATGCTGGACTGTATAAACAAAATGACTTTGATTTGAGGTCACTTGACAATGAAGTTTCAGTCTTCAGCAGCTGTTCAGTGTGACTGAGATGATCCTAAAATTCACAGCTAACTGAAATGACCTGTTAAAAAATGCTGTGTTTAAATTCCTCAGCTGTCATTACTGCATTAATTTTGATTCTTATGCTATTACTGATCTTTACGCCTTTTATTAAATGTTTAGTAATCTTAATGATCGTTTGTGTTTTTGTCTAGCTGTAATCTCTCTTCATGACAGTTTGGTCAACATTTAATGCTCTATAAATAAACTGACTTAACTTGATAGCGGTTACAATAAAATCTGAGTTAATGTTTAATAAATTAAATGAAGCTGTACCAAATGTTTTGATGACATTTACATCAGCTCTTTGTTATGAAGCTTACAAAGCATCTTTTTATTCCTCCTGCTTTAATTTAGCCCAATGAAATCAACACAGAAGGACCTCTAATTTTCTACCGGCGAAGCCCATCTGAGTCTCTTTCACAGACTCTTCCTGCTAACGTCAGCTCTGCAGGATGGCATTTTCCTTTCAGAGATGTTTGGACGTTTCCATTCGCCACAGACAAACTGCAGCAGTCGGAGCAAACAGGCCACTTTCACATCGAGCTCTGAACAAAGAATAGGGGCCCTGGAGGAGAAGACTGGGAGTCTGAGGCATGGGGAGGCCTTTTTTTTCTTTTTTTTTCTGCGCTAGCTGGCACCGGAATGGACTTGTAGGCAGGAAAAGAGAATCTGGGGGGAAAACTAATGATGAAAAAGTCTACTCTATCCCTGTGCCTTCATTAAATACATGGAAAGAACGAGAGAGACACATCTGGATTCAATCCGCGTCCCTTTGATGGCATCAAGTGTTCTTTTCCCAGATCAGGGGGCTGGAAGCTACGGGATGTCTATGGCAGCTTGGAGCCCAGAGTCGACTCCTGCCATCTGAACACATGAACCCCCCCCACATCACCTCCACCATCCAACTCCCTTCATTCCTTCATCCTTTCACCCCCACCACCTCTCCAACTCAACTAACTTACAGTTCAGTACCAACACTGAAGTTGGAAGTTTAGAAGAACTTTACTTTCATTTCTTGAGTTGGGGAAGAAGCACTTTTTACTCCACTACATCTATGTGATGGCTGGCATTACTGCTACTTTGCTGGTTCAGAGAAAAGTTTATAAAATGCTAATATGACACAAAGTATTTCATGTCAGAAAGCAGTAGTTTCTAATAGTTTGGGCGTTTTTGTAACAGGACCCCTTAAAATACAGTGATGACAACTTGTTATCTTGGTGAGTAGCTCAACCAAAGAGAAATGTTCCTCCTTCGATTTGTTTTTTTTTAAAAGCATTTTTAAGGGCCTGAAGAGGTTTAAGTATCCAATAAAATGTATTATTTTGAAAGTAACCCCTCAAATTTGTCTTGGGACTCTTTGAGGGGTCCAGTCCCTGAGTTGAGAAGCTTGCTGTTTCTCCTTTTCGTCTTTCCTCAACTGATCTGGAAGCATGAAAATTCCTGCTCGGATCAAACTGGAAGAGACTGTTTGAGATAGAAATTGGGGGGAACTGCTATAATTTCAGAACTCAGTTGATGAGGTAGACAGTCCAGACTCTCATTCAGCTCTGATTGGCTGAACCTCTGGAAACTACCTAAGAATCGCACACCTGTGAGCAGTCAAGTGGCTAATTAACCAACAAGTGCAGCTGCTGCTTGATGATCAGTGTCAGCTATGTGGGATGGTTTTTATTCAGTGCACAAATGACTGGACTGTTTTTATATAAGTGCAGGAGCAGTATTTCAGTTATGTTTCTGTCCAAGGAACATAAGTCCAATATTCTGTCTCCTTTAAGCTCTAGTCTGGTCTCCACCATCTCCTCAGAAAGAGATCTGTCTCTTTAGTTGCTAAATGTTTAACTATGTACACCAGCTGGTCTCCTTTTCTCTCTGCTGTTTGCTGCTGGGAAGAGGTATAGGAATAATAAGACCTTTTACTTAAATAAAACTGCTGATGTGTAAATACCATGCTCCAAGTGAAAGTCCTGCATTCAATTTTTGACTAAAATGCTAAGTGTCAAAGATATAGTGGGTTTTATTGGCATCTTGCAGTAAAGGTCACAATTTGCAACCAGGTGAATCTTCTCCTGATTAGAATTCCTTCAGTGTTCATTGTTCAGGAGGGTTTTTTAGCGGGAAATGAATTATCCACAGAGGTGTCTTTCTCTCCAAAACAGACCAGGTGCCTAAAAGTAAAAACACTGAATAAAGAAGTTTCCCATTACAAATATATTTGAGGAAGGGTATATTGGCCAAAATGGAATATGATATTCATAAGTTTTCTTTGGTGTATGATCACTTGGGACTAAGAATCACTTTGTTTTTCGTTAGCTTAGAATGAGCCCTTGGGGACTGGGTCTTCTACCATGTAGCCCGCCATGTTGCACCATCGTGTTTCTGCAGCGGCCCAGAACAGATAAACTATAGACATATACTATAGACTATAGACAGGGTCTTTTGTGTTTTTACTGCTGTCTTCAAATGGAACTCGTGAGCTCAGGGTTACGACATGGGTTACCGTGTATAGGCTACATGTTATTCTTTGCTTTCAAGTGATCAAGCTGTGAGAGTACCACTGCTAGGCAACAGTAACATGGACACAACTGTCTGGATCTAGCAGCCATCGAGGCTAACAATTTAGCAAGCTAGCGAGTGGATCACTTAATACAGGAAATTTAATGCATTGTAAAGCAGGAAAAAGATGAGGCTGTAGGAAACATCAACATTTTCCAATGATATAAATTTCCGAAGAAAGACCCCCAAACAACTAAAGTTACAATATGTGATCTAACCATCCACCGAAAAACAAACTAAATGGCCTCCACCATTTATGAAAACGTCAGCAAACACATCGCAACTCATGAACTGAAAATTTCCACTTATGTGGTCATGAATATCACAAGAGGGTGTTTGTAGGTATGGACTTTTTTTGTGAGCACACTAAACACAACCTCATTTGAAGGTAGCATGTATTACTTGAAGGTCACCACAGAGAGGAGAGAGGAACGGGGTATTCAGTCACACTGCTCCTTCAAGCGAAAGTATTGACATCAAAAATGAGTTCCAAAAGTGAGAGCACTCATTATACATGAATAATATATCTATATTATATTATTGAATTTGTATTATTGATGCAACAAAGGAATACTTCACCCACAAAATGAACTTTGTATATCAATTACTCACCTCGTGTTAACCTTGAATTCCTAAAGAATGCATTTCACTGAGCAGAGTTCAAACACAAGTACTGCACAGGCTCAGAATTTTCTCCGTTTTTTATTCTTTTTTCACAGTGGAAGCATGCGAGAAAAACGTTTCTTTGTCATTGTAATACGTGGTAAAAATAGATATAGAAATGGTCAATCTGTGGGTGAAGTATTCCTTTGAGTAAAAGTATTTACATCAAAATAAGTATCAAAAGTCAAAATACTCATGCATGAATACCATCCTGTATATTATAAATACGATGTTTCCCTCTGAAATATAGTGGTGTAGAAGTATGACATAGCTGAAAATGGAGCTACTCCAGTAAAGTACAAGTACCTCAAATGTACTTGGTTACTTTCCACCTCTGATGCAGGTAGTGTGCAGTGGGTTGATCAGAAAACAGCTGCCTGCTGCTGCTGGAAACACTGAGACTGAACCAGACAGGAAACGTGACATAAAACCGAAACCAGGAGCTAAAAGAGGGTGAAAGGCTCCACGGAGCTGCTGATAATTCTCTGTGGGTTTCCTTTCACATTACGTGGGTTGTACGTGTGTTTTGAGTATTTGTGTCTCTCTGACTGTCCATCTGTCTGTCTGTGGAGAGATTTTGTCAATGCGATAACATTGCAGTTGTGCAAGATGCAGTCAATTACAGGTGTGTAGTTGAGATGAAATGAAGGTCGAGTTTGAAGATACGTGTAGACTGAGCCAGGGGACTGGAAGTAGGGAAGGGGCTACTACCTCTGTGGGCTGACACAACTTTAACCCACTTTTTTTTTTTTTTTTTTTTTACGAAATTAGGTTTTTACATGCTCGATGGCCCCTAAGCAGTTATTTATTCCAACTTCATTTTCTCTGTATATTTTATATCAAGGATCCAGTTGGACTTCTTTATATTTTTGTTCCCTGCTGCCCTGACAGCTCAGCCTCGTGTGGACAGATCTGTGGATAGACTGACTGGCACGGGTTATGGTTGATTTAACTGGTGGCAGACCGCAGGACAGTTAGAGTGGGTTTATCAACACACAGGCAGTGATAACACTAGTGTGTCTCCCTGCACACTCTGCTGGCTGCTGTTCCACTCACACTCACACTCATTAGGGGGAGAGCTTTGCCAGCCAGGGGAACAAAAACAGGCCAAACCAGGGTGTTGATGGTGCTGATGGTGATGTTTCTGCTGAGGGGGATGGGTGAGGGGGCAGCTCGTGGTGGTGGGGGCCTGTGAAACGTCAGACACAACATAAAGGCATTGCCACGTAATTACGGGACTCTTTCATTTTTGGAGAGAGAGAGAGAGAGAGAGAGAGAGAGAGAGAGAGAGAGAGACTATAGGGTGTATAGCCTGGAGGTGCGGCGGTAACGTCCTGCCTCCCCGCGCCTAGCTGCCGCTGAGCAAGCTTTGCGCACACACGGGGCTTTGCGCATCTGGTCGTCATCAGCAGCAGCAGCAGCTCTTCCTGCTCATATGTGACTCAACTAGAGTGGGAAGAGAGCTCCTTCTTCTTCTCAGAAGACTTCACTGAAAAACGTCTTTGGGACTTTTCGCTCTCAGGCAGCAGGACACGCTGATGTTTTTCTTGTTTGTCGTTGACGCGCGCCGCTGGATGGATTGTCTGTAGGGGTTTGTTGGGGAAAAGCAGGCGAGGAGAAAACTTTGCTGAAGTTTGTTTGCTTCCTGTGCGGCTGATCTGGATGTGAACACATCCGCGCTCTGCTCGGAAGAACCGAGTCTCTCTCTCTGGCTGGTTTCTGGAGGCGCTGCTCGTGCGTCCTGCATGCACGGATCTTCTTGGCTCGCTCGTGATTCTTCTCTTTCTTATTACCGCTCCGTTTTTTCCGCTGTTCCCCACTTGCGTCATGACTTCTAGCTATGCACATGTAATGGACAGGCAAGCCTCGATATCAAACCGCCTGGAGAGTCCGATCACGTCTAACCTGGACAACCTGCAAGCCAAAAAGAACTTCTCGGTCAGCCACCTGTTGGATCTGGAAGAGGCTGGGGAAATGGTCGGCACCCAGGCGGACGAGAGCGTCGGGGAGGCGGGGAGGAGTATGCTGGAGTCCCCGGGGCTGACCAGCGGGAGCGACACGACCCAACAGGAGAGTAAGTGAAAAGCAGACCGAACAAGAGCCCGAAGGCTGGGACTGAGCTCGAGATATCACAAACAACTTTTAAATCTTGCGACCGAAATATTAAAATCTCTCTCTGGTGCGTTTTAGTGCAGATGTGAAAACCACAAGTTATAAGGCTTGATCTCTGGAAAGTACAACACATTTCACACAAATGTAGTTCTAATGAGCAGCTGAAAACTAAAGTCATTTGTTTTCATTATGTTCTGGCGTGTGTCCGCGTGCAGAGCGCATGAATGGAGCTCTGCAGAAAGCGGCGCGCATGGAAGGAATCCTTTAGTGAGTTTTGGCAATGCATCATCCCTGACGGCCTCCCCCTCAAAACGGCCATTAATTTACCATTAACACTTTGATGTCAGTGAGGTATGGTGATGTTGGTGGACATGGTCAGTGAAGTAACCTTGCGAGTCAAACTCGGGGGTAATAAATCTCTCTGTTATGACCTAAATGAGGCCACATTTCTTGATCATGCAGGTTTTGATCTTTTTATTTAGGAGTAAAAACAGAGTCAGAATTAATAATTTATTTTGAAAATACTGGAGGGAGAGTCACATGGTGTCTGTGTCACTTGTGTGATAGTTTGAATATCAACATCTGTATACATTTATTACTTAATTATGATAAAAGCCATTTTTTTCAACCACCACTAATTCCTCCGTGTGAGCGTAAAAGTGAGGCCAATGTAAGCCGGCTTTGGAGAGCTTAAAAGCGGAAACTGCTCGCTGAGCTGCCGGAGACGACCCACCCCGAATATCAGGGCTATCATTTGCAATTGTATTGTATAGAAATGTGCCGTTGCGTGAATGTAAGTTGACTGAAATTCGGAAAAACCCGCAGAAACCCACCACTCGCCCTCTCCGGCGCACCGTTGAGAGAGTAAATAAACGCTCCCTCCTCCTCCTCCTCTTCTTCTGCTCAAAGGGCCATTTGCAGCGGCTGACAGAAACGTTATAGGCTTTAATGAGTGTTATTGTTATTTTTTAAAGGCTAAAAATCGTGTGAGAAATATGCGGGAGGAAGTGGCCGGGTCACGTCGTTAATTCACGGTTATTTTCGGCCTGTCAAACACCTTCAGAATATCGGAGCTTAATCATTTGTCATAATTATCGCGCGTGTCCTCGCGCCAACAATTAGGGAATCAAATAACAGCATCTCATCGGATCTGATGTTGTTGAGAGATGACTTTAGGAGGGATGATTGGTTCGATGAGTAAACATTTGTTGAGTTTAAATGCCTAGCCTTTATAAGAGGAACGAGTTCATCATCACCAGATTTACGCAAGACTAAAAACAGAAATATTGACACGTGTTGGGGCCTTATTATATAATTTTATTTTTCCGATTAACTGACAGAAACGTGAAAGCAACAGTTGGTTTGAACGGCTTTGGACATTTTTAATCTATTTCACAAATTGGCAGTAATATTACCCAAATACATGATGGACACATTACAAAATAAAACAGTAAAAAATTAAAAGGATATTTGTTTTATTATTTTAAGAACCAATAACTTATCTTCTTGTGAACAAGCTTTGGCAGGAGGACTAATTGACTTTCACTGATAGCTGCTAATGAGATCAGTTTAATGACACGTGTTGGCCACACTCACAGCTGCAGGATGATGATGGTGATGATGATGGTGACGGGATTGGCTTTGATTTGCTGGCTTAAATGTCACCCTGCAGGTTTAATTAAAAGCTTTCCGAGGCCAAACCGCCGCTCAGCCTAAAAGAAACACACAGTCTCCTCTTTATTTGGATTTTATTTTTTTGTCCAACTGAAACAAAACGGAAACACTTGGAGCCGTCACACAAGAGAGAATATACTCTAATTAGAAGCTCATTAATTTAAAAAATATTTTTTGTAATTTACAAAAATGTAAATTTGCCTACTTTGCATAGGCTATTATTTTTGTCCCTATCAGACCTGCTGTGACACATTTTCACTGTGCTAAATAACAAAAATAAATATTAAAACAACTCAATTAATATATTTAATACAGAAAAAAATAAATATTTTTATTTTGCCACGTGATGTTTTTTTGTTGCCTCTAAAAGATTAATTTATATTAAATCTTACAATCATATTTAATAAGTGACTTAATGCCATTTTCATATTTCTTTTTCATCTTACTGTCAGTACACACAGCGGTCTCATCCTTCAGCGCACAAACCTCATTGTGTTGTCGCATTTTACTCCGGTTGTAACGTCATCAAACGGGCGGACTAATGAAGTGCGTCATGATTTTCATTTTAACCTCGAGCCTGTAAAACGGCTGTGTGTTTTTTGGGGGGAAACTATGCGCGGTCGCTGGTTAGCCATGTGCGGCTGCCATCAGCGTTTACAGCTGCACTTTACTGCGTCCGACTTCTCAAGTCATCCGCTGCACTATTTTACTCCTTTTATCCCAAAGTGTGCAGCCTGCAGCCTGCAGAGCTGAGTTATAACAAACCGAGAGGAAACAAGATGAAAGACAGAGTCAGAGGAGAGACATTTTGGTCTCATCTGGTTAAAATATTTCCTCATAAACCAGAAATACATTCAGAACTACATGAATGTAATAAATTTAAAAATGCAACTCAGTTTAACACATGATGGGATTTTAGCTTGTTGCAATTAACTTGAGTAATTTCTGCCATAAAGAGGGAGTTATCCTTAGGCAAGGCAATTTTCTACAGCAGATTTCATTACAGGTAAATATTCTTTAAATAAAAAAAGAATAGCGTGTTTAGAAGAATATGTTATAATATTAATAAAATAAAATGCCAAATTATAAACATTTACTTATGCTGGACTTTTGCAGATTTATATTTTACGCTCAAAACACACACACAAAAAAAACATCTTGTATTTAAGTAATTTAAATCTATTAATGTTCCACCCCGGGGGGGTCAGGACCCCTAGAGGGAGGCAAGATTAATCTGATAGGTCACTAAAGGATTAACAGGATCCTGAAGAAGAAGAAAAAAAATACCTTCACATAATTCTGTTTCTTTTTCAGATTTTTTTTCGTATCTGAGGTTTGCAGAAATGTACAATGCCAACATTATCTGCAGAATAGGTTGCAACCCTTTTCTAACCTCAGTGTCTGTATATATTATTTTTTTTAAGAGAGTAAAAAAAAAAAAAACCTCCATCCCACACCATATCGTCTTCCCCACTAACAAACAGAAATGAGGAGAAAATGAAGCAAACTAACCAAAACAATTTGCTTTTTCCTGTTAAGGAAAGTAGTTCTACATCTTCAGCTCTCTAAAAAGCCGATCTGAGGAGAGGAAATCACTGCTAAGAGCTCACAGAGGGATGAGCATGTTTAGTTTCATGTTTCAAAGGCCAAAAAGATTGTGCAGCAGCTTCTTTAAACTTCTCAACAATATATGGGGTACATTATAAGTTATCATTATCAGTACATTAGTAATGAATCACTCTAAAGTCAAATATTGAGTGCTAGAATTTTGCTGAAGTATTTTTTCCTAATTTTTTTGTTACTGATAGTGTGACTCAAGTTTCCTCCTTGAGTGTGCTGTTAATTTGCATGATTAAGATTTACATCAGCTGTAGAAGGTGGATAAACTCTGGCTCTGCATCTGTGCTGAGATAATTTTTAAAGTTCCAGAAGAGGAACCAAGTGTGCACACATCCAGGAAAAAATACTTAGGTGCAAGACAAAAACTATTCCGCAGGGTACAGACGACATCTGCACTCTGTCAGGCTCCAAATAAATAGTTTATCACTCTTTTTCTCTTTGTAAAGCAAATAAATGTGAAAGGTCAGAAGATGATTAAATTCACATAAGTACACACACAAAATTATGTTAATTTATGCGTGACTTTTCTCCATTTTCTTTTCTGGTGAAATACTGAATATGTTCAACAGATCAGACCTGCAGAAAACACTCTGTGTTCAAACTGCACGAAAACTAAACTGTGTTGAAAGACAAACTAATATTTGGGGTCACATGCTTTATTTTAAGGGGTCCCTCTGGTAGATAAGCAGAGGGGAGGTGTGGGGAGGGGGGCGGGGGTCTTTCATTAGTCAACAAAACAAACAGGCTCAGCATTGACACACTGCAGCATCTGCTCTGTGACATGTCACATGAGTGCGTGACACCGGGCAAGGTGTGTGTCTTTGTGTATTAAAGCAGTGATAGTCAATAGTAAATACTCCATTACAAGCTCTGCAGTCAGAGTGTTACTCTCGTACAGAGCAGTGTGATCACAATGTCCTGAGTTCGAGTCCGGCTGAGGACATTTGTTTCATGTCAGTTCTCTCATAAAGGCGGAACATGTACCTACACTGTGAGTGTATTCAAATGTACTTGAAAAGTCAAACTACACAGTCAAAAAGAATTGTTTTGGCTATTAAAATCTGCCATTTTGGAAATAGAATAAAATCTTGCTCCTCCATATTTTGGGGATTTCTTGTTTCCCCCAGTTCCTCCCTTTAGGATGAAACACTGTCTCCTCAGGTTGAGCAGAACTTTTTAGATTCAGATATTTTAGATGTATGAACTCCATCTCCTGAGGAAGACCATGACATGCAGTTCAACGCAGCTTGGAAAAAGATGCAGTTTCCAAGCTCAAGACTGAACTCTTAATTTCATCTTTAGATAAAGTTTAATGTGGTCATTAAAGAATTCCTGAAACAGCTGATGTTTAGAAATATCAGATTTCAACCTGAACAAAACAAAAATAAGCTCTCTGACAGTGATGTAGGGAGGATTCAAATCTTTACTGAAGTAAAATTATCAATACCGCTGTGGAAAAATCCTGCTTTCAAAATTATAGTGAAGTTAACAAGGACTCCGCCAAGAATTACGTTCACATACATTTCATTAGCTCCAACATAACGCAGCAGAGAATACAATTTTGTAATCGGCATATTGACAAAATACTCATACTGAACATTCTCACAATATCCCGTAAAACCCATTTCATGAATCAGATTTTGAATGAGGTTTATGGGAAGTGAAAAAAATAAAACATTCATCATCATTTTGGGTCTACATGAATGCAAAATAAATTTTGAGGTGTCACATTTATTAAAGAAGGACTAGGATGTTCCTGTTTGTATCCACCGGTGACTCTGTGTAATCCGAAAAAAGAACACTTTTGTCAAACTCTAAAACAAAAAAACACAATGATAAATAAATCATTTATATTGTTGGCATTACAGAATATACCTTGAACATATGGAAGCATTTTAATACTGTTTTCAGGTTTGCATAGATATTCTAAAAATGCTATATTTTGGGGGATACAAGATTTTTACCTGACATCAGGCATTTTCAAAATTTTATGTTGAATATAAAATCTGAATCTGCAAAACAGCTCAATATTCCCACTGCCAGATAGAAAATACAAGACTTCCCTCTGAGATGTCTCTCAACACTGAAATACTGTGGTGCAGTACAGAGCAGGAGTGAGTGTACTGAATAACCTCCCACCTCTGTGTGTGTAGCTACAGATAGTGTAGTGTGTGTGTGTAAGTGTGTAATTAGTCAGGAACATGGATGATCACAGTCTTTTTGTCGATGTGGAAGTGTTATTTTGTGGTTTTGTTGTGGAGCCACAAGGCACTGACTCCATCCTGCAGGAGCATTTAGACCGAGCATGTACACACTCTGCAAAATGGATTATATATTTATCTTTGCCAAGAAGCACACGCGTTTGTTTGTTTGCTGGTACATGTGTCTGTTTGCTTGTTAATTAGGCTGCGGGATCGAGGAACAAGTGATTTGTTTTTGTTGCAGATCCAGGCCTTGTTTTTATGGATCTTTAGGAATCACTTCACCCAAATTACAAAAAACCCCCTATTTTCTCATATAACGTCAGGTTTTGAGGTAGCTGCCGCACCAAATCGTGGAGGGGGTATGCCCTCTTTAGTTACAGCTGCTATGTTATCATCAGATTATCAGTGATGGAAATAGTATTCAGAACTCAGATTGTAGTAATGTAAACATCCTGTTTAACTCAAGTGCTCTGTTCAAAAATTTTCAGAGGTACAACAGTGTTACTTGTTCTCACCTGTCAAAAGTGAAAGTACTTGGGAGCAGCTGTCAGCAGGTCAGGTGGCGGAGCAGGTTGGACATTAATTGCAGGGGGAAGTTCTTGATCAAGACCTGAACCTTTAATTTCCCCCGAAAGTGTGCACACATGGGCAAATCATTTCAGCTGCGTCGGACAAACGTGTCCACATTAATGCAATGTTATGCTCATTTTAAAGAACTGCCATTAATATATCAAGAGTCGTTGGTACATAAATGTATAAGCAGCATTTTAATGCTAATTTAAGGTGATCCTCAGTATCCTATTGGGTAGTTTAATTACATCATTTTTTAAAGGGAAAAAGAGCGACGACATTATTACTTTCAACTGTAACAAACAATATAACATGAAACATTAAAATTCATCATTATGGTCCTTGTTGCTTGGGTGAATGATCGAGGATCAGTTCTTTAAAGCTCTGTTTTTACTTCCATTTCTGATCGAGGCCTGAGGAGGCATCATCTTTTCAGAGCTGCCTGCAGCAGCAGCAGCAGTTGTTGCATGAATGCAGGGAGCTACATTTATTATTAAAATGTAATGTAGACCGACACAGGGCTTTTGTTTTTTATTGTACCTCCTCAGGCAAAGGGTCTACAAACTAAAAGCACCTATCCCATCAAGTGTTGTAAAGGTTACACCACCTTGTTGTTCTCCTTGTAGATGAACAGATGAACACAGAGGAGAAGAAGAAGAGGAAGCAGCGCAGGAACAGGACCACCTTCAACAGCAGCCAGCTCCAGGCTCTGGAGAGAGTGTTTGAGAGGACACACTACCCCGACGCCTTCGTCAGAGAGGACCTGGCCCGTCGGGTCAACCTCACCGAGGCCAGAGTCCAGGTATGAACAGGGACAGCATCACTGCAGAAAATAAGATTAAAAAACTGTTAATTTCATAATGTTTCCTTCAGATCTTGAGAGTCACACGTCCCCCTCCTTACAAAAAAAACCCCTGATCCCCTTATATTTGAAGATTTCCTCCAGCAGCAGTGATTGAACCGACAGGTTCAAGCTTTGATCAGAGACGAAGAAGAAGCCGTAACACTCACCAGATTATTAAGTATACACAGCCATGAAGTAGGAAGAGGCCTGTGGTCATTATACTGTAAACCACTTTCACTGCAGGGACACAAAAATAAACAGATTCTTATAAACACACAGACACAGAAACTTGCTGCGTTACTTGGTACATTAGAAATGGTCCTTGAGGTTTTGGCACCCCTGTGGGACCTGTTAAGGAATCCTTGTGCGCCCTTGTGACTCAGAGCAGGATTTATGAAATGATTCATGAACAGCTTTGTTTGTATTAACAACAGAGCAGCAGAGCCAGCCTGTTATTGGGGAGAAGTTTTATAAGAAACTGGAGGACAAGCAGTCACAAAACAGGATGTCTTCACATCATCTGTTAGCTCTTAACACTAATAGATTTAGCTAATAATCCTATAGTGGCTTGAAGTTATCAGGGTCTATTAACATGTTTAGATTTTCCATTATGGGGCTTTAGAGGAACTGATAAGAACTTGTCTGCCCCACACAAACATCATCTATCATACTTACTTGATCTCTTGAATAATTACTGATAGTTTTGAGTCTGCGAGCAGTTTGTAAACTCCCCAAAGGGACTGCATGTGATCAGAAAAGTGGATGTAATGATGTCTAATTTCCTCAGCGGTTTACAGATCAGTGATAAGCGGCAAATGTGCAACACATGAGAGCTGCAGCAGAACGGGAGCTAAATATGACGCAGTAATTGGCCAAATGAGCGACATCACTCTTGTAAATGTCGTCAATTAAACAAGCTAGAATATGGATTTAATATTTGAATTGCAACTAGAGCTTTTACTGAAATTTGTTAATGAGGTCATAGGTTCTTCATCCAGACACACACACACTAAAAAAAGTGTATTTACATACAGTTAGGTTTAACTCACATTATGAACTGTAATGTAGCTGATCATTGTGCCTTTTACAAGTCTAACAAAAAAAGAAATGCTGCGTTAGTCTCTGTATTAAAGTCACTGACTTGAAATACTGAGAATAACCTTTAGCTCCATTTAAGGGGAACTGAGACTGAGATAAGGCTATATTTACATCTTTGACCACGCAATATAAATAAAGAATGAAATATCTTTTAGTCACCAGAAGTCAGTCCTTGTCTATCCAACATTTATATTCCCTGCTTCAGTTTTGATTCATATTTTATTTAAAGTCTCAGGAGGAGAAAGTGTGTTGTCACTACTTCACCAGCTAACTATGTGCTAAAGTAGCATAAGACTGAATATGAAAGCTCGTGATGAAGGCCCATGTGCCAAAACGGATTGGTGAAATAAAGAGGGCTCCTCCAGTTAGCCAGCTGGTGTTGCAGAGTTGGGTTTTTTCATGCACACTATTCTCAATTCCCGTACATCCTGTCCATGTCACTTTCAAATAAAAAAAAAAAAATGTCCCCCAAAAACTGTTAAAAAAGGACACATTGTCACCTGCAAATCTAAATTTAGATCTGCTATATTTGAAATAAATCCCTGCGCATAAAGCCCTACCATAAGCGTATATTTCGAAGGGAACACAGGGGACACGTCCCCTTCACTATATAGAACATGTGCACCCCCCAAATAAAGACGCTGAAGTACTAGAGGACCTTCATTTTGTAAAGATTTAGACATTTCCACTATTAATGAATGCAGAAAAGGTACACATTGGTGCAGAACATTTCACCAGCATGCAGGAAATTGAGTCTCTGATGCTCAAAATTTCCTGTCGGAGGAGCCCAAAACCCACCTCTATATAGATTGATTGATTGATTTATTTCGGTCATTAAAAAGCAACAGAAAATAAATATCAGCAACAAAGCACAAGTAAACAAAACAAGGACACACAAGTAAACAAAACAAGGACTCACAAGTAAACAAAACAAAACAAGATGTCCTCCCCAGTGCTGAAACAAAACCTAGATCTACCAATCAAATAGGTAGGGCGACCTAGTTGTGGCCTGACAGACAAAAACTAGGGCAAAAAAAGTCCAGCTATACTTGATGTTGCTCATGAAGCTGGGAGCTTGTGTCTCAGTATTTATATAATGAGAATGTCTGACATCTGGATTACAATCGCTGAGGACAGGACACTGTTTGCAGAGATTTACTGAAACTGCAACTTCTAAACTGAAAATCAGAGAAACAAAGCAGTGATTCTGATCAGTGATGGAGACATAACGTCACCTGTGTTCCCCCTGGAAATAATGCTCTTGGTTGTATTTGATAAACTGAACTCAAGAAAAGTTCATGCACCTATTCTTTTAAATGCACACAGGCCCCATGCATTTGTTTAATAATGATATGAATTATACACGCATGACTCAAGAAACAAGACCATCTAATGCTTTTACTGCAGATTAATGTATATCTACAATGGTTCTTTTGTACATTCTAATGGCGTGTTTTCTGAACACAACAGTGAGAGTATTAGCTCTGTGGGCAGAGTAAGAGGGAAAGAGGAAATGGTGATGTTGGAGGGAGAGAAGCAGCACATCTGTGAATAATGTGTAGCAGAGAGCGATGCAGAAATCCTTTGATAAAAGAGACTTTGGGCTCATTCCTGAGGCTGTGCGTCAGCGGACAGCGAGCCCCTGCGAGCGCCCACAGCATCTAATAATGGATTTGATTTCACAGTGAGGAACAACATTAGCACCCCCCGAGTCACATCATCATCATCTGCTTAGCAAAGGGTGGAGAGGGGGGCTAGGGGGGTGTTCTTAAAGGAGAGGGGAGGCTGATGAGGGGTAGACGGTGAATTGGAGATGAAAGCTGTGTGTGTGTGTGTGTGTGTGTGTGTGTGTGTGTGTGTTTTGAAGCTTGTGCAGATGCCTACATGACAATTTTATGTTTTTACCTGATACAGAAGTTTAAAGTCGAGATAAAATGGGAAAAAAGCCTTTTCAACCCTTTTAGTTCACATTCCAGTCATACTGTGCATGATATATACCACAAAACAAACAAACAAAGATAAATCAGTTTCTTTGTATTCTTACGACAAAATCCAATCATGTTGTTTTCCTGTAAAACAGAAGATGATGTGTATTTATGAAAGCCGGTACCAACCAATTTCAACCAATAAAATCATGACATCCACACATCAATAATCTGCAACTTCTAGCCGGACAGAGTCAAGGTAAAATTTGCTAGCCAGCAACAGCATGCTACATCCTTGTGTCCCTAGAACAGCAGAAAAGAGGTGGCAGGGCGCTGGGGAGCACTTAATTGAAATGTGTAAAATGCTGTGCTATGTGTGAGTTTTGTTGTTAGGACAACAATACCTTGACAGTAACATTAGTTTGGTAACTAAGGTAATGCTACATTAACAGAGGGTAGACTGTTGTAGACAGTAGCCTAGCTAAAGAAGCGGCAGTGATGTCACCAGCGCCTTTCTGAAAAGTTCAGAGATTTAACCGTAAGCGCTCGAAGCAGCCACAGCTGGAGCACTCTGGTAAAAGATGCTGGGCCCAGCACTTTTCCTCTAGGCGGCTGCATTATGCTTTCTCTCCATTGTCAACAATTAATAAAAGACACTGGTGCCCAGACAAAAAAGCCATGTGGACACAGACCGTTACAGTGGGCTACTGAAGCAACTAAGGGAACATACACATGCTGCATTTTTTGTGCCCTTAAATCCATTGTTGTCAATGTAGACGCGGGGTAGGCGTGCTCAAAAGCAAGTCCATCTTCATTGTGGCACGCAAGCTTTCCCAAGCATTCCCGAGCGTTCCCAAATACCTGTTTTAGCTGTGTCCAAAATTCCATACTAACATGCTATTTAGTAGGTACATGAAGCATATGAAGGGCTTTGTCTCTCTCTCTTTCCCTGACCTAGACTTCTATTCTATCAGTATTACAGCATCTGGGCCTCACTGTTATGACACGCCCACTTTTCAACAATCAAATCAATTCCTCCCAAAGGTCTATCCCACCAGCCTATCCTGTTTCACTTAGAAATACATCATGGCACTGAATCTAGACACTCATGAACTGCTGTTTCACCTGGAATTTTAGTTCAGAGAAATATGAAACAAATGAAGATTCTGAATATGGTTTTTATATTTTTTATGACCTCTGTTCCTTTAATAGACTTCACATAGTGTTAAAGCATGACAGGTTACAAAGGTCTCATGTTCAGGCTGTAATAGAACCAGAAAGTGTGACACACCTCAGGCTGTTAAACCCACTGACTGATGAAGACTATGAGATGTGGTTGAAAGCTACAAAAAAATCTAGTTAATGGAGCTTTGAGTTCAGATTATTTTGTCACGCATGGTAAGAGCAGACTGAGGAACAAAGCAGCATTTAGCACTTCCCTTTGGTTTGTTAAGGGTCACACTGTTCCCTCTGCATTTAATTTGAATGCAGTAACTGCCCATCCACCACCCGGACCTCTACACTTCCATTTTCCAGCTCCCTCTACATAAAGGGCACACTTCTTACTGCTTTGGCACTGGGCATAAATTGTTTGTTGCTGATTCATTCAATGGAAACTGTTAACTCCTGATGATACTGGGCTGGTTTTTCTGTGTCTGCACCACTCCACACAAATGGAAATATTCTGCTTGTCTTGTGCATTATTTTACATGCAAGTTTAGCCAAATATTTGTTATCTTTGGAACTTTAAATGCTTCTGTAAAGAGTTTGTGATGATCGTAGCATCCACAGAGGTTAAAAACTTGACTTAAAATTGCTTATGACAATATATATCCTGTTTTTTTTATTCTTTGATTCCAGGTTTGGTTTCAGAACAGGAGAGCTAAGTTCCGCAGAAACGAGCGCGCCATGCTGGCCAGCAAAAACGCCTCGCTCCTCAAATCTTACTCGGGAGATGTGACGGCAGTGGAGCAGCCAATCGTACCGCGTCCTGCACCACGCCCGAATGACTACCTGTCCTGGGGCAGTGCTGCCCCCTACAGGTAGAGTCCACTCTGTTCTCTCATCGGACATCATCCAGTGACCTGACATTCACCTCACAACATACACACTGCTTACACACTGCTTACACACTGCGCTGCTTCTGTACTAACATTTCTGTTAACACTGCTGATCTGCAGCACAGTGTTAGACTCAGGCTACGTGAGTAAAGGCAATAAAACCACAATGAAGAGAGTCCTACATTCAGAAAGTGAAAATAAAAAGAGGTTCATCAGTAAAATGTATCCAAGTATCAGCAGTTACAGTAACATTATTGTGAGGAAGTGCTGGGCGAAAACCTCCTATCTCCAGTTTTGGGATTTTCATGCTTTTACTTGTGTTGAAGAGGGGAGAAAGGAAGGAAGGAAAGGAAATAGGAAATAAGAAAGGAATAAGGGACAGAGGAAAGAGGAGAGAAAAATGTAAAGCAACATAGGACAATAAGAAGAAAAGGAAGATGGAAATAAGCAAAGAAAGAAAGGACAGGAAGGAAAGAGGAAAGGAAAATAGCAAAGAATGAAGGAATAATAAAAGGAATAAAGAAGGTGAGAAGTAAAGAGTTGCCAGAAAGAAGAAAATGAAGTAAGAAAGAAGGTAAAGAAAAGAATAAAAAGAAAGGACTGTAGGAAATAAATAAGTAAAGAAAAACAGAAAGAAGGAAAGGAGGAAGAAAGGAAAATAGAGACAGAAAGAACGAGACAAGAAAGGAATCATTTCAATGTAGTGGCGTAAAAAGTCTTCCAAAATTCAGAATACTCAGGTCAAGCACTGCTGCAGTGCTCCGAACTGTATGTCAGTACTGACTTAGTCCTCTGCTTTCTGCTGCACAACATCAATTCACACAAGTGTCTCCAGATGAAAAAGCACAAGCTGATGCCACAATAACCACATGTTAACACCACTGTAACACACACACACACACACACACACACCAATCCTCCCTTCTGTTATTGTTTCATTTCCTGCTCTTCTTCTACCTGCACATACTCCTCATAGTTCCTCTGACCATCTTCATCTCCTCTGATCCACCTGGACTCAAACTGACGGGCTGCAGGTCAGCACACCGTTTACTGTCTATTGTTATAAATCTGCTGTTATTCTTTATTTTTCTTATTGTCATCAGATCTCATGCGCAGACTTAAACCAACAATGTGTAAGTCCATCCCAGTTACCCACCCTGTCTCAGTCTGTCAGCTTTAAGCCCATTAGTTCCTGCTGAAAATGTAAACCTGTAAAAACACAAATGTGTGTCTTTAATTTTTCAAAAAGTCTCAGTAATTTCCTAAAACAGCTGCTCACTGTAGTTTTTATCAAACAAACAGGAGGAGAAGATGATTTTCTGGGGACTATTTTCAGTGGCGGATTAATCCACATTTGGTGCTCCAGTGAATATTTGCGGCAGCAGGACGGTGTTTGTGACATTGAGTCAAATAAACTATAGTGTGTGTGTTCATGGTAATGAAGGAACATGTCACCCAGTGCAATAGTTAGGCTTACTTAATGATACGTCAGGCTCTGATACACACACTGTTGGATTCCAGATTTGCTTTTAAGACTTTTGTATCAACTACGACGTAAGGAACACTTGCCTGTTGTCTGGTAATCTTTTGGACCCTCTGTAAAAGAGATTTGTTGCAGCCTGGTGACACAATAACTTTAAGACACATAGCTGTGTTCACCTGTTTCTACTTTTTATTTTCAGGTACTGTTAACATCAAACACCTTCATCATGCCTTAGTTCTCATGAGCAAATATTGTAGGAATAAAATATTGAGATCCTTCCTCAGAAAAGCAGCTGATTCCCTGTTAACCATTATACATAAGCAAATACGAAAAAGAAGAACTTACCTTGTATTTTCCCACTGTTATATTACAATATTTTGTGGTTGCTTTGGCCAAACTTTTACAACAACAAAACTCTTAGTGCCAAACTGTCATGTTAAATTTACTGTTTAAGCACAAACTGCTGTGCCGCTGACATACAAAATGCAAAACACTAAATCACACGCTCAGTCCTCAGTGTAAATTACAGTTTACTGTTCTATGCTTTCCAGCATTGTAGTATTAAAGTGTTGACTTACAATTTGAATGATTATGTAAACTTAGAAGTAATTAAAATATCTAATGCTTTAATGTCTTGACAGAAAAAATACAGACAGAGTTACTGTCGTGTAAAGTCAGACTTGAGAGCACATTATCTATGTCTGACAGTATATTCAATTTATAAGACGTAGACTTTCACAAGGAAGTCCATCATTCAAATTCTTTGTAAACTGTTTTGATGATGTGTGTTTAACAGCATTATTTGATAATGATAATTTTACTTCTAAAATACAATAATTGATGAATATTTAGAGCGTTGTGATGCTCTGAAGAAAAATGTGATACATGGTGCATTACCTATTTTGATACAGTTGTTTTGTTGTAATCTTGCATTCTATATGAGATGTTAGGCTGAATATAATATTCATGTTAAGCAAGAGTTGTCCAGTGAACGTACTCCAAAGCTCTCATGACATATTAAACACTAAGCTGCAATGGTTTTTGAATTTTTGGTCATCTCCTCAATATAAGTTTTGTAAATTAAAATTCTGTTGCAAAAGATTGAGCCAAAGTCATTATAAAATGCCATAACACTTCAGTAAAAGATCAGAGTCCTTTCTCCATCGCTGTATAAGCTTTGTTTTGTATGCTCTCTGACTTTTCCTTCTGTCTCTCTGCTCTGCTATGGCCTTTTGCCTCTGTCTTCCCCTGCAGCCATCTCTCTACACTACATATATAACAGTCTTATCTTGCACATATCTAACTCCAAACTAATTGTGTTGAATAAAAACACCGTTTTCCTCACCCTCAGTCCCATCGCTCCCCTCTGTCAGCATGAGCAGGGCGGGACCAGATCCTGTGACCCTCCTGACGAGGTGATAATGTGAAAACAAACCGTATTAAATCCACTGTTGACCCCTGTGACCCCTCTCTGCTACACTACACCAGATAATGAACGCTACACAGAGAGACAGAGCTCTACTGGGCAACATTTTTTGTGACTCTGGTTACATTGGTCGTGATTTACAGTAATCCTCCGTTATGAAACTCGGTGTAAAATGTCAAACCCTGCGGCCGCTGCCCAAACTCACTGAGAGCTTTTTGGCTGGACGCGGGAGCAGCGAGGGAAAGCTTTTGTGAAGCAGGAATAATGCTATGTGGAACACGCTAATGTGGTGCTAACACTTCACTGTATATTATCCTAAAGCTGGTATCCAATGCCGGAGGGGGGGCCAGTGCGAGTGCCACAGAAAATGCTGCCCTCAGAGAACAAGTACGCTTTCACTTTACTACATTCAGTTCTTTTTTTGTTAAAGAAAACTCACAGAATTCTCCTTTTAAGAAGAATACTGCTGTTTTTTCACATTTTAGTACATTTACTGTTTTCAAAAGAATTTTAAAGTTGTTTTCTGAGTGTATTTCTTGAATCTTATTGTGTCTTTTGAATGTTTCTGTATCAATTTTCACTTTTACTTAAATACAATGAGGTTTTTTTGTTGTTTTTAAAGGAACAGACCAGTGTTTTTGCACATTTTAACCCATTTTCAGAAGCTTTAAATGACTGTTCAGAATTTCTTCCTTCCCTCCAACTGCCAGAAAAGCCATTGGTTTCTATACAGTAAAATCAACACATGCTGCTGCTTAAAACTTGCTTTGGATAGATAATTTATCAGTGAGCATCATGTCTGCTTTTATTTTTATCAAAGTAATGTCTTTGTTGTGTGTTCAATGTAGCACACACTTTTTAAATCCATCAGCACTCACAACTGAATTATCACGCAGTGATTACCGTACAGTATGTTGCACTTTCAATACAGCTGATCCATAGTGTTTTGAATAAAGTAAAATAAGAACAAATACAAGAAGAAGAAAAAAAGCAATAAGTTTGAGGAAAAAATGGTCTCAGAGAAATATTGTAATTGTTCAAAGCTGGTGAGTACAAATGTGTTTTAAGTTAAATCTGCACAAAAAAGATGAAAAATACCAGCACAATGCTTTGTTGCTCTTAATACTTTTTATTTTACATGTTGACACAACTGTCATGTCTTTCCAGATGATTAAACAGTTATGCAGACAGAGATATTTTTTCAGCTTTTTGTGCAGATAATTGTTACTCATCCTGCAAAGAATTTAGGAATGTGCATATGCCTTGTCAAGATGAATCTTGAGAGCATAAATAAAGAGGAACTGAGTGAAAGTCATAAGAGACATCCATAGTCTGGGGGCAGAAACTAAAAATGCTCAAAAACATTCAGTCCGATGTTCAGGAGCAGACAGGAGGACATTGCTTTAACAACAGCAAAAGCAGACAAGATGATTATCAAAATAAAACACATTTTGGCCTCTTAAAATTGACTACTGGCATGAACTGAAAACAAAGGCTACATAAATTTATGACATTTTGGCTGAAAAACAAACAAACAAGTCAATAAATCATGCACAGAGACACAACCAAGATCTGTCCTCAGTCCTAAAGAGGTAAAAAGACACACTTCAGTACTACAAGAAGAAGGAAAAGTGAAAAGAAAATAGACAAAAAATACTGAAATTCCTCATCTTAAAAAGAAGGGAAAAAAACAACAGCTAACAAAAAAAAAAAAAAAACTGCCACATTTTAGGACCATTATCAGACTCCATCTGTTGATTACAGCAGTAAGAAATGCGGCTGAAAACTCTGGAAAATCTTCAGGCAGAGGACTTGAATCTGTATTTGTCATTCTGGCATTTGTTTAAATTCATGAAGTAACATTAGATTTCAATATTAAAACTCTGAGCTTGGTGCATTTTTTGAGGCTACTAATCAGACAGAGAGGGTGCTTTACAATGGCAGAGTGATTGATTTCTTATCCACCGTGATCCCAGCTCAGTGCACCCTTATCTCACTCATGGGCAAACTTAATGAGGAACACTAAGAAAAAGACAGGGAAACAAGAACAAAAACTGTGACACCTCCCCCCATAAAAATATTGCTGGACAAAGCTCAATCATGTTAATAAAAATGTTGTTTTTAATCCAAAGAACAAAAATTATAATGTGGTGATGCTCTGGCCCTCATTAATTATAGTGTGGGAGGAGACATACACTCTCTGTGTATGAAATTTGAAGTGAATAAATTGACTGTTGGGAGTACATGATAACAGACGTCTTTTTCCCAGTCGTTTGGCAGTTTAGACTTAAACAGTTCAAAGACTGAATATACAAGAAACAAATGAAGTCAGCTGGCTCACACTAAGTTTTTGTAAGTTACACTGTTTTAAGCTGCATAGTTAAAACTTAGCTAATCAACTATTCTTACATGTTCTGGCAAATGGTGATTTAATGTGATGTGCAGTCAGGTTAATGTGTGTAAAAACACTGGTGAAGTTCCTGTGGGCATTTTTTAGTCACAAGCGTCTTAATGTCAGATTTAGATTAAATCAGATCAGTGATACCTGTTCTTTGTTCCTTTTCATATTTCCACAGCTGTGGCTCATGCTGAGCTTCAGCTTGCTGTCAGCCACAGGTGATGTAACCTTTTCCCCTCCTCTTGTCTCTCAGCGCCATGGCCACCTACCCGCCCACCTGCTCCAACACCAATACGTCCCAGGGAATGAACATGGCCAACAGCATCGCCAACCTGCGGCTCAAAGCCAAGGAGTACAGCTTGAACCAGGTGCCCACGGTCAACTGAGAGGAGGAGAGGCTGGGGGCCAGCGCAGGAGGGGAGGGGAACCTTTCTACTGCTGGACCCCTGCGGACGGACACCGTCTCTGGGTTGAGCATCATCTTACACACCCTGGATCATGAAGCCTCCTCTTCTTTCTGGAGCAGCCTCGATGGCGATACTACACATAATATGCAAATTGTTGGACACCGAGTGATGGCAGGATTTTCCCCAAGCCGCCTCTTTTTATTCTCCTGAGCATCACTGAACTCTTGTTTGTACAAAAAGACAGCTAGACTGGATGCTGTAGCCGAATATCTGCGTAGTTTTACATTTGTGATTGTGACTGAAATGGAGGGCGAGTTTTTCAAAGAGCATTTTGTTTTCATTCAGAGAACTTGTTCTCGACGGAGACTGGTGTACGGACTACGTGGAATTGCCTTTGTCCCTTTGGCTGTGGTGTTGGATAAAATGACACACCAAATTTGGGATCAACAACACTTTTTTTCCTTTTAAAATCAACAACAAACCTACAAGGACTTCCTCTGACATTTATGCATTTTTTTTTTTAAAGATAATTTTTCCACATTTCTTTTCCATGTTATACCACTGATGAGCAAACATTTTCAACGCATTTTGATTTTCATGTAATAGTCCAGTATAAAGGAGAGGCTAATGTATTTCTGAATCCAAAACCAGTAGATTCTCTTAATTTCCTATGATATCCTTTATTTGTAACAGAATAAAAACTTGTATATTAATAAAAATGCATTTCAAGCAATGCAATGGCACAGTGTCCAATTCAACAGATCTTATATAGGATGGAAAAAAACAATTTTCCACCTTTTGGAGTAAAAGAAAAGGGTTTCTACAATGCAGACAGACTTAAATTATGCTTCAGAAACTATAAGAAATAAGTATATTTATAGCTGGGAAGCAAAATGATCTTGGACCTCGTGCATGCCCCATAAAAGAGAGATTTACAACTCGAGAACAGATTCTCCTTCACAGAAACCTCAAGCTGTTTCTGCTTTGTGTGTTTTCTTTTTTCCTGATTACCGCAACCTGAAATTTCCATCTTAAAAACAGGATATTTATGAGCAGGGAAATCCTCTCCTTAATATGGAGGGCCCCTGGGCCTCGTTTAACTCTGCGGCTGTCATACAAGGTGTTTCTTCTCCTTGGCCCCTCATAACCTTCGCCGTCAACAAACACATGTCGACACTCGTCCTCGTACGGCGCACACGGGCCATAAAAGTGGGGTCGAATGAAACTGCAGCTGATGTGGTAGTGTTTCAAATTTTGGGCGAGAGGTGCCCATAGGTGCGGTCACATAAGTATGTCGTCTGTGGAAATATTTTTTTGGAGACGTTTATTATTTTCAACTCACAAATAGCCAAGAAAAGTGCAACTTTTGTCACAATATGAACTCCCTTCAAAACGTTTTAAGTTTAATTTTGCTTTGAGAATGGCAGACATACACGTTATGAAACTTTGTCTACAACATATTTTATATTCTTATTGTTTCCTGCTCAATATGGCATAAAAGTAAACAAGTTAAATTTCAGTGATTGCAGGAAACTTTTATCTTAGGAAATTTTCAGTTTGCTATTGTTTCACCGCTGTTGCTTGCTTCCTAATGTTAAATGTTCTTCTTTGGTATCTATCATCAGTTACTCAGTGTTTCAGCTTCCTGTCTTGTTTTAATTTCTAAGGACTCTTACTTCAGTACAGCTTTGAGATGGTGGTCCTATAATGGAATATTGCTATTTTTTTAGTTTTTTTTTATTGTCAGTTTTACTTTACAGACTCAGATTTTGCATTCAACATGACAAAATTACCTAACTGCCTTGTTGTCACTTGATCAAAGTTCTTCTGACTTTTTGTAAAGAGTTTAAGAGGGAATGAAGTCTGAGAATTTTTTCCAACTTTGGCATGTAATCCTTCATCTGATCTGAAAGCAGGAAAATCCCCATGAAAGCATGAACATTTGGGGAGCTTTTCATCATTTCTTTATCTCTGATGTGGGAGGTTCTACTGCTATGATATTTTTATTTTTTTTTCTTATTTTGAATGTAGGACTTTTACTTGTAATGGAACACTTCCTCCATTTTTAATTAGGTGAAGGATTTAAGGACTTCTTCCACTTGTTTAAGTTCAGTTTAACTGAGGGTTAGTCGTAATAAAGAGGTGCTTCACTGATGTGACTGGAGGGTTTTTCCTGACTCATATGCCACATTAAAAAAGGGATATTTCTGTTTTCTTTTCAGCCCTTTTATTTTCTGCTGTTGGTTGTTTTCCTGATCACTTATCCCTGACTGCGGTATGTCCAGTGTCAGACCCCTGTCCCCCTCTCCCCTGTCAGGCGCCCGGTCTCACCTTTCATGGCCAGGGCCTGGGCTGACCTGAAGTGATTCCAGATGTGGAGATCTTTTTGACCCTCCCCACCCCCCACCTTTCACCCTCCTCCTCCTCCTCCTCCTCCTCTTTCTTTTCCTCCTCCCCTCTCTTCGCCCCCAGGCCCTGGCCAGCCACTCCATCAGGGCTGACAGCGTCCCCTCGGACAGCGTCTCTCCTCGCCTGAGCACATGACATACAAGGCAGCTCCCCCACCACCGCTCCTACTCCTCCTCCCTCGCCCTCACCCACCCACCCCCATCCTCAGCAACACATCTGGAGCTCATTACGGAGGAGACAGTAAGAGCGAGGGAGGGGCGGGGAGTCTGCGTGCAGAGTGTGTATGTGCAAGAGAGCGGGAAAGAGAGTGTTTCTTAACCCTTCTCCTCTAAAACATCCACCTTTTTTTCCTCTTTTATTCTCTTTGTTTCTTTTCTTCTTTACTTTTCTCTCCGCTCCTCCCTCTCTGCATGCAGTGATCTTTGTCCTGCTGTCAGTGCCACATGATCACAAATACTTTATTAATGAGTGGTTTTGGAAAAGAGCTCGGCAGGAAAAAAAAGAGAAAATCTCGGAGCAGCCTGAGTGAAATACTGCACAGCTGTTAACAGTGTGTGGTTTGGGTGAACAACCAAAAGAATTTCCCGAGATGTGGAGTTTCCACGCAAAGTCAAGTTGACTGAGAGGTTGCACTGTTTGTGTGATTAAGTCACTATTATTACACACTTTTCATAAACACAGATGCAGGCTCGAATACACCCTCTGTTGGATTGTAAAGGAAACATAATTAACTTCAAACTGCCATCTCAAGGTTAATGCTGATGACCATATGTACTGTACTGCCATCACCAATGAGTGCTTGTTTCTTTTCTTCAGGAAGTGAGAAAATCTGGCTGCTTTTTCTCATAAAAAGATGATTACATTCTGATTAATATTTTTGAAAGTATACACAGAATTTCACAATGCTTAAATTGCCTAAAAAGTCATTAAATTTTCTTAGAAAGTTTAACTCATAACTCTGGTTTATTACAATGTGGGTCTTTCGTAGTAACACTGCTGAAAAAAACATCCCAGAATCTCTCCGATGTACATTCATATGTGACATTCATGCAACACATGATTTCCTCCAGTGACAGTGCTCAGTACCAGTGGAAGAATAGTGTGTGCTTTATGTGGCCATGCAGAGAGTGAAGGCATCTGTATGCTTCAAATGTCGTGCTTGTCCGATTGTCTGATTGAATCTGAAACCGACTGTTGCATTCAGAATTTAGAGGTGCCTGTATGACAATTATTCTTTCCGAAACAGACAATCTGACCTTCATGACCACTTTTGACAGGGTCTGTGGAGCTGAGAGTTAATTCATTAATAGAGAAACTGTGTGGGTGTGTGTTGTCACCATTTGTGCAATTCATAACGTTGACATTACTAGTTGTTGGAGAGGGATCAATAATGGCAGGCTTTTTGGCCCCGCACTCCAGGGTGGACATTCAGAACAGGTACAAACACTATGGGCCCTAGCTTACACCTGGTGCAAAGCAGTGCACAGTGCAGCATAACTGTCATTCCAAGTTTCAGTGTGACGTAGTTGTCATTTTCACGGCCAGCGCCCAAGTTGTGTAAGTAGCACGTATGTGCGCTCATGGGTGTGTAGGTCCTAAAATGAGGTGCGGTCGAGCACATTGCTATTTTGAGGCAGCGGAAAGTGATTGTGCCATTGACTAAAAAAACATGGTCTAAAATCAGAATGGCACAGTATTTTCCTGCTATTTAAAAAGCGCATTATTAAGATAGTAATATGCACTGATATAGGCTTTTTTTTTTCTCACACTCTTGCTTGTTACACACACAGGGATAAACGGATGGGTTGTGGATAGCTGAAATAATACATCACTACTGAGGAAAAAAATTAATGACATTCTCTGAAATGTGAACATAGCAGAGAGCAGGGCAGAGCTGCTGTCTGACTCCCCACTAAGAGAGATGCTGTGCATATCTACACACCAGGAGCAGCATAACTTCATTATTTCAGAAGCTAAAAGTTTAATTCCGTTTCCCCTGTCAAGTTTATAACTGCAGTTTTCAGTTTCGCTGCTTAAATTTTCCACGATATTTGCTGCATTGACATCACTGCTCTTACTCCATTACTCTCAGCAGAAAACCATTCACACATCAATTTGTCAAATCAACCATGGCTTTTAAAGGGAATGGGAGTTGACACTCTAATTGGTGGAATTCATGTTATGCTCAAAACACACCTATGATTAATTAAGGGACCATACACAACCCTTTTGCCCCTTCCACCTTACTTTGTGTGCAGATCATGTGCCATTTAGTCAAAGTGGAGTTGGACACATCTTAATTCACTTGCACCATGCACCTTAGGCCATGTGCTATAGGGCCCTTTGACTTTAGACAAGGTTGGATGAAATGTACTACCAAGTAGTTTGCTTAAAGCATGCTGAACCCTTAAGAGTGGCAGATGGGCATGCAGTGAGCTGACTTTTATGCAAGAGAATGACGTTTGAGTCCTGTTGTCAACCAAAAATTGTATTTCTTTTAAAACCACAATTTGTCCTCAACCTTAACCATCAAGAAGTTGCCATATGCAGATATCATAATAATTAAATTTTAAAATCTTAGCACTGAATGTTATGTAACTGAACACCATCTCAGGTTTTGCATCATCCAATATATTAATATGGGTAGGGTTACAGGACGTTTAGCCAACTAGGACTGGATAAGACGGATAAATAATGATTCTGGCTTGGTACAACTTTTGGCTGTCATTTTTATCCGTTATGGTAACAGTGTACTCACCAAGCTCATTTCTGAGATCTGGGAGCAATGAGATAGAAGTTTGACGGTTCGTCAAATGATCAGACAAGTTGTAACCAAGTCAACAGTTCATAAAGATTATCTAAATCCCTTTATGAGGAGGTAAAATGAAAAGCAAGTGCACCTGAAATGTTGCTAATAATCTCTCATTGCACAGGAAAACTGTGTGCACACAACTACAGTAACTATGGTAGATCAAAGTTGAAGCAGGAAGTGTCTCTGTGAGTCTCATCTTCCTTTATTTCTTCAAAATAAGTTTAGCTGACCTGAAGGTTTGTTTCCAACACGCCCAATCGTCTGACTGCTTGTGTTTCTTGACATTTCAGACTTCTTTTTAGTGACATTGCCATGCTCCTAGATCTCAGCTATCACTTTGGTGAGTGCACTATGAACTGAATAATCCTTTAATGATCTGGGGTGATTGGGATGATTTGGCATCTCGAAGAAAGTCGGCCCGTTTCTGCATTTCACTCCACATGACCGAACTTTTCAGATTCAAAAGTACAGGACGCCAGGACGAACCCAAATGTCACATGCTGTATTTTCCCATGCTGCATGTAACGCAGTGACAAAGATAGTTCTTGTCTTGTCCTGAAAGTAACTTAATTATGGTGTGATAAAAGCTTCTGGCTCGACTTAAATGGCTGTTGTGAGCGTTCTGGTCCTGGATGAATTAGCATTTTAATTCTCTCAGCCCTGCTGAGGTCCAGCAGGGCAACAACCAAAACAACAATTATGGTGAGTGACATGACGTGAGCTCCGAGAAATCATCACTATATATAATCATCGGCAGAGTTCATATTCCCTCATGGCACATGAACTATTTTAAGTATTTGGAGGACTTTCTCGATCTCTTACAGGAAGTTCGGCCTCTTGCAGCTGAACACGTGTATGACCTGGGAAATATGCAAGAGGCCTCCAGAGCACAGAAATTTACTGACCATGGGGAATATTACATTATTCCTCCTACAGACCTTATAGTCTGTTTGGGCTTTGTTCCTTTAAAACCGCTTCTTCCATAACTGACACAAAGCAGTAAAATGCTTTAAAAGACAGATTATAAGCAGGGCCTGTTGACTGCCGACAATCGTCCATAGATGTCAGCCGATGTTGAGTGTTAGTGTAAGAGTCCAAAACCTCAAGGCTTTTTCACAACACTTTGAAGACATGAAGTGAGGGCCAGACCATCCACTCCAACGGCTCCAGCTCCACCTGTCAGTTTAAACAGGAAACAGTTTTGTCTTAAAAAATATGACCAACATCAGATTTTTGTCTCTCAGAGACAAGGGCAGTAAAGCTGATGGCAGTACAGTATGTGAGGTGTCCATGTGTAACCTTTACAGGGACTCCTCAGATTATCAGCTGTCTTACTCCCTCTGCTGGACACTGGTAGTCCACACAGCTGCAGGTCAGGAGAAGCTGCTGACCAGCAGGTACAGGAATGTGTCATAAAACTGATCAAGTATTCCTTAATTTATCTAGCTGATGACAAACCAACTGTGTCAAGTAAATTGTGAATATGTATGCTTCCTTAACACATTGTTATTGAAATGAGTGGCAAAAATCGGCACATTTTAGCCAGCATCGTTAAAGAATTGTCTACAAACGCATCTTGAAAGAAAAACCCATAGGACATGGAGTCAAGAAAAAAATTTTGGTCTTAGGAAATACTTGAAAAATGCTGACAAAACAATCTCACTACAAGGCCCATTCAGTAGTGGTTCTGTAGCTTTTGATCACAACATACAGTCTTCCTCAGCAGAGTCTCCCAGTTGTGGCATTGACAAGTTGATCTAAAGTGAAACAAACTAACACTAACTCTCGCTGCACTGTGGAAAATAAGACTTAACAGACTCAATTACAGACAACTGACTTTGAATTGACTGAATATAACTTTAGGGTAGACATATATGCCTATATGTTCATGACAATATTTTCAGTCCCCTATAAAATTAAAAAATAAATGTTTTG